CGTAGGGCCATGGAGATGGCGTCTGCCATGGACCTGTTGCGCCAGTAGGCGAATTGCAGGGGATCAAGGCAGTCTGGGAGGCTGGAGTTGATATGAGTCATGACCAACTTCTTGAAGTACTTCGTAATTTTGAATGTCAGAGCCACTGGGCGGTATTCATTGAGGCACGCTGCATGATTTTTATTTGACAATAGGATGATGGTTGTCTTTTTGAAGCACTTGGGGACTTCAGATCATAGTAAGGAGAAATTGATAACATCTGTAAATACTCCTGCCAGCTGGTCTGCACAGGATCTGAGTGCATGACCAGGGACTCCATCCGGGCCAGTTGCTTTCCATGGGTTCACCCTTAAGAAGGCCACTCTAATGTCTGTGGCATTGACTGAGAGTACAGGTGCCCCAAGACTGGTGGGACAGGTGACATCATTTTGCTGCCCTTCTGTTCAAAGCGAGTGTAGAATTCATTGAGCCCATCAGGTAGGTTTGTACTGTTGCCCATGATTCTGTTCGACTTTGTTCTGTAGCCTGCTATGTCGTGTAAGCCTTGCCACAAACAACGGCATCTCTGTGGTTGGTCTGGGTCTCAAGCGTACTTTGGTATTGCCTCTTGGCATCACTGATGGCCTTGTGAAAGTTATACTTGGATTTCCTGTATAGGTCAAGGTTGCCTGACGTGAATGCCTCAGACCTGGACTTCAGTAGGGAGTAGATCTCCTGGTTCATCTATGGTTTCTGGTTGGGGAATGTTTGGATTGACTTCTTCGGCACACAGTCATCTACTCACTTATTAGTAACATCTATAATGGCACACTTGTTTAGGTTGGGTGCTGAATTCATGAAAATGGACCAGTCCACTGACTCTAAGCAGCCGTGTAGAAGCCCTTCAGTTTCTTCAGACCAACACTGCACTACTTTCTCTGCTGGGTCCTCACACTTCAATTTCTGCTTGTAAGCTGGGAGGAGCAGCACAGCATCTGATTATCCAAAATGTGGATGGGGGATGGAACGGTGCACATTTTTTATGGTTGTGCAGGAATGGTTAAGGATGTTTGGACCTCTGGTGAGACAGGAGACGTGTTGGTGGAATCTTAATAGCACATTCTTGAGATGGGCTGATTGAAGTCACTGGCCACGATGAACAAGGCTTCGGGGTATTCCATCGCAAGACTATTTGTAGCATTGTACACTTCATGGAGTGCAGTCTTTACTTCTGAATGATGGCACAGAACCAAAGGAGGAGATGTAGGTTTAACGATTTCCTGCATGATCTGCAGATTAGCTCCACTCCAGTGGGAAACTTGATGGCTATTGGGTGGAGCGTTGAAGCAAGGTAATCAGAGGAGAGCAATGCCGTGATGATAGTCTTAATTGTTTCCAGTTTATTTGTAGTTGGGTCTGTCGTAGGTCTGTTGTTGAGGATCACAGCCCGCATTTTGTCATGCATCAGGTGGAGAATGGTGACAGATTTTTGTGAGCAGTCAAATTTGAAGAGAATGCCCCAAAGTCCCTTCTGGTTGACAGATTTGAAAGTGTTTGTGAGTTAGAAGGTGACCATATGTCTCTGATTTCTCAGATTGTCCTTTCGGCAGAAAGGACATTAATCTCAGCCATGGAATGCAGCAAAATTTGTCCTTCCCAAGTGGAGTTTCTGTTCCTTTGTTCACAAAAAAGTTAACTGAAAAGTCCCATCTGATGGCAGTTTTATAACTCCCAGCTTTAACAGGTGGAACGTCCACTTAAAGGAATATCTTCATGTTTCTGCTCTGGAATCAAACTTTTCAGTCTGCTTCGCCACCTGATTCATGACTTTCTATCTTAGTCATCTTACATTGTCCATCTCAAAGTCACTGTCTTTTCTTCTGCTGAAAATTCTCAACATTGTCATTTTTTTCCTGTTCTGATCACTGGCTGAAATTTGACCATCATCTTGGTGTGTTCCCAAACACTTTCCATTTCCCTTGCAGCCTAAACCACATGCTGATATCTCAGAAGCTTGATATCACAACTATGAAATCAAATTGACTACACCCCACCCCCTCCCCGCCAGAAACTGGGATTTCATTTATGGACTGTCTCAATAAAATGGCTTTGAAACACAATCAGTGCAAAGAACGGGTTACTGATTTTATCACAGTAGCTAGAGTCTCAACTTTTTTGAAAATAAAACAGAGAAATGCAGATTCTGGAAATCAGAAACACAAACTGAGATTGCTGGAGGGCTCAGTGGGTCTGGCAGCATCTGTGGAGAGAAAGTGGTGATGTTTTGGGTCCAGTGACCCTTCTTCAGACCTGATTGCAGCTAGGAAGAGGTTTGGATGTAGTTGAGTATGGGGTTCAGGGAGGGGGAAGGAGTAAATGCTAGGACCATTCGTAGCTGACAATGGCTTGGGTGTGACAACAATCCTTGCTCGTGGGGTTTGGGATAAGGACAGGTCCTAAAATAATTGAACTCAATATTGAATCCTAAAGGCTGCAAGGTCTGCAATTGGAAAATGAGATGCTGTTCTTCCACTGTGCACTGAGGTTTGCTGGAGCACTGTAGCAAGCCTGAAGCAGAGATGTTGGCCAGGGAACACGGTGGTGTGTAGCTGTGGCAGGCAATGGAGCTCAGGGTAATTTTGCAGACAGAATGTAGGTGTTCTGCAAAATGGTCAACCAGTCTGCGTTTTGTCTCCCTTGTGTAGAGGAGACCACATTGTGTGCAGCAAATACAGTAGATTACATTGATTGAAGTGCAGGTAAAACATTGCTTCACTTGGAAGCTGTGTTTGGTTCATTGACAATGAGGAGTGACAAAGTAAATTGGCAGGTGTTACACCTTCTGTGATTGCTGGGGAAGGTGCCTGGGGGCTATGGGAGTGAAGGAGAAGTGGACCAAGGTATTCCAGTCCAAAGATGTGTAGGTTAGGTGGATTGCCCATAGTGTCCAGAATGTGTAGGTTAAGTGGATTAGCCATGGGATATGCAGGTTTACAGGGATAGGGTAGGGTGTAAGTCTGGGTGGGATGCTCTTTGGAGGGTCGGTGTGGACGTGTGGACTCGACAGGCCAAATGGCCTATTTCCACACTGTAGGGATCCTACAATTCTAATATATAGAGGTTGCTGCTGCTCTGCATTTTTCTTGAATTGGTCTTACTGTATAGATCACATCCACTGTGCCTCTTGATGGGACAGAACCCA